CATCACAGCGACAGAATGTCACGCTGCACTTTTGGAAATGGAACTAGGTAAGTCTCCAGGTGAGGATGGACTAACTGTTGAAGTCTATAGAGCAATCTTTCCTCTGATCAGTGAGCATTTTGTGCAATTTATCAACGTTGCCAGAAAGAGAGATACATTTGGTCCTAGCTTCTTAAGAGCACTAATTACTCTTCTTCGAAAACCAGGTACACCTGAAGGACACATCAAGAGTTATCGTCCTCTTTCACTCATGAATGTAGACTATAAAATTATATCCAAAGTACTTGCTCAACGACTTAAACTTGTCATGGAAAAAGTTGTGCATCCGGATCAAACTTGTTCGGTACCCAATCGAACACTACAGGATAACATTCATCTTGCTCGATCACTAATAAGATATCACAGACAACGTCGAGAACCTTTTGGTCTTGCACAATGGGATCAAGAAAAAGCCTTTGATCGAGTGAGCCACACATATCTCGATGCAGTTCTTGAACGTTTCGGCTTCAAAAATGAATTTAGGGCGTTTATACGTCTACTGTATAAAGAAGCCACCTTCAGAATCAACATCAATGGCTTCATGTCAATCACGACTCGATTCTTGTCTGGCATAAGACAAGGATGTTCTTTGTCATCTATGCTGTATGTCTTATGTCTTGAACCATTACTACATCAGCTAAGATCCAATAACAGAATACCTGGTCTTCTTCCACCAGGCGCCAATATACCCTCGATTCGACAACGGATCCTCCCCTCAGGTATTGACCCAACGGTAAAAGTATCTGCATATGCAGATGACATTACGTCTGTTGTTTATACACCAGAAGAGGAGGAAGAAACCTTAAATATGTTTGCTCTATTTAGTAAAGCTTCAGGTGGAAAAACAAATGTATCCAAGACGGAAATACTTTTGGTGAGTGATTGGTGTCCATCGTTACCATTTAAAGCACGTGTCAAGAGTGATTACAGTATTTATCTTGGTGTCCCAATCGATGTCTCAGGTAATATTCCAACGAATGAGACTAATCAGCTCATCACGCGAGTTAAAGAAGGAGTGAATATGTGGTCTGCGATGCATTTATCTTTTGGAGAGCGTAGTACAGTCCTCAGGTCATTCATTCTGAGTCCATTGGTACACATATTCTCAATGGTTCCAGTATTAAACTCAGTATGTAATGACTTGCAGACGATTTGTACTAATTTTTTGTGGAACTCGAGTAAGAAAAATATTGAGTTTAATACGCTAATCGGTAGACGACATGAAGGTGGTCTTGCTCTCCCACACATCGAATCAATGATTAAATCATATCGTATCTCATGTGGTCTACGAGCGCTAAACCCACACTTAGGCATGAAATGGATGTTTTTTGCGATCACTTATTTAGGTGCTGATTCAAGGTGGAAAGATCAGTTGTTATGGTCTAATCTAATGCCACACATCGAGACGGAAAATGAACTATTCAATGAGGTTGGACGAGATACGCGTCAGTGGCTTCTTGACGGTCATCCCAGCATTATCAACACCATGAGCCAATCTAAATCAGTTTATTGGATCCTAGTCGAAATGCTATTTCGTAAACCAGTGTCATTGAAATGGATTCCACTGGAATGTAAGGAGGTTTTTTATAGGACTCTTCACAAGTCCAAAATGCCTGCTCGTGTTTTTGATCTGTGGTATAGGCTATCTCTAAGTGGTCTCACAACAGGTTCCAGATTTGGACGTTCGGCAGAACAGCAACAGTGTATGTTTTGTCGTGATTGTGAATCACAGGCTCATTTATGGGTCCAATGTGCCTATTTTTCACCATTATTCACATGTTTAAAACAAGAAGTTTTTAAGCGCTATAAAATTGAACTGGCACGTAAACAAAATGATTTGATCTACATGCAGCCTGTGATCACATCCAACAAAACATCGACTAAAAACATCATGCTTATGATCGGTTACTATTTTTATGTAATCTGGTCATATCGAAACGATGTTAAATTTCGTCATATGAAGAGGAGTGGTAAAATTCCTTTGCAACGATTCAAACAACTACTACTTCAAACATGATGAACATGACAAATGAACAAAAAAAAACATGTGACATGCTCAAGATATTGATAGTGGGGCAAAATATATTAGCGCTGGAGCCGCCATAGTTGGAGTAGCACACACTAGAACTGGTATTAGAGCAGTTTTGGGCTCAATGGTTGTTGGCTGTGTTAAAAGTCTAATGTTGAAACAAGAATTATTTTACCTATACCACATTTGGTTTTACATTATCTTAACCATGGGTCTATTTTATCTTATGATGACGTTCATGGTATTATTCGTGCTTTAAAATACAGTCTACTTGTGACATTTTTCTAATCAACAAATGTGTCCTTTAGGTGATTCTCCCTTTTTTCTTTCTATAGCACAGGTTCTTTGAATAGTTCGAATAGATGGAAAAACCAGCTCATTATCTCGGGCCTTTTCCCCCCGTTTGAAAATAATTGTAGCTTTGTTAGTAGTCCTAGAAAGTTAATTTTGTTTACATAAATGCTACGTTAATATGTTTTGCTATGTATTTTCAATGTTTTTCCGTTTTACATCTGTAACTTTCACACTATCTGGATAGGGTCATTTCGGTACAACAATTTGGCTTCATGATTGTGCATGATCACTATGAAAATGTATTTTATGAACATTGTTTCAATGTGCAACATATTTTACGAGGATTATCAGCGATGTGATGATGGTGTATTACATTATCCACTCTACTGAAACCCTTAGAAAAACACCATCAAAAGAATGGAAAATGTATTTCGTTGGTATAAACACACTTCCTCATTTGTTAACAACGAAAGTACGACCTGGCATGATGACGACCTGTTTATATCTGATAATGAAGAAAACGAAGAAGAAAAGATAATATGTGAAGAACGAATAAAAGCACGAGAAACCGTGGGACGACTGACTCAGTTGAAATGGAACGTCTGGCACATTCTGTCCAATCAGATGGACTGGTTTGGGGTGCATCTCGTTTACTGCTATTGCCATTTACAAACTAGAATCTTCATTTAATTGTGTTCCTGTAGACGATAAAGTTGGCAAAAATATTCTTGAAGAGCGTATTATGAAATTTTGAACAAGACGGTCAGATCATGCACGAATCTTGAACTATACAACAAGTACATGAGTTGTCCTCTTTTTCTATTAGAACATGTATTTTAACAATATGAGTGTTTTTATTTGCTCTTTTTGTTGTCGTTTTTGTTGTTGTTTTTTATTTATTTCGGACATTTTGTAATAAAAAAAAAAAGATCAAAGTGTAGTATCTGTTCTCGTCGGTTTGAAAGCCGGCGTTCGGTACATCGTACCGAAGCTCTTTCAAGCTGATTTTTGGAATCGGATCGGGATCAACCGTGTTTACACGGTCCCGATCAG